TGTGTTCTTCCCTTTACAAGCTTCAAAAATGCCTGTAGCTAATGAGATTGAATATAACAATCAACAATAACAAAAATATACACAGCTAGATCAGATGGCGTTCTTTTTAGATGCGACTTTAGAGTAGAGGGGAATTATTGAAACGGGATGTGTACAGGGTTCCGCGGCATCCGCTGCTGCGAAAATGTGGGGCAGGGCCGTAAAGTGGGGGGGCCAATGGCCCCCTGGCCCCCCCGCTTCCGGCGCCCTTGCTGGCAGGTCCTTATAGTGAACCATGAATTAATAAATACCTAACTTTAGCAGGCTATGAATAACAGGAAATAATGAACTTGTTTGAATAAATAACCACTTTTTTACCATTATAAAAACATCACCCTCCAATGCAACGGTTTACAAACATGTTGTGACCGCAGTGCTAGCACTGAGCTAGCGTTAGCTTACGTTAATAGAAGTTGCACATGACCAGTTAAAGTTAGAAGACTCACCTGAAAGTAACCTGGATAAAATGTCAAAAATAGGAAAAATACTTGAGCCGAGCTTCGGTTTTTCTAGTGCAGTCTAGTATTCTTGTGTATAAGTCAGAGATGTTGTGTAGTAGGCAACATACAACAAATTAAACGCGCATCTTAGATAGCTTACTGTTGTCATACAACCACCTTCCTTGTATGTTTAAGTAGGCTACTTTCAAAGTTAAAGGTTTTATTTTAATATGCACATTTACAGTGTAGTTATAACATAACTATAAGACATAAAACAATAAAACTAATTGTAAAAAAAACTATTACAAAATAATTCAAGAAGAAACTTAGTAAAAATAGAATAGTGCAAGAGAATGTTGCAAGACTAATGTGCAAGTAATGCAGGAGAAGTACACTTTATTCAAGTCAAATAGAAGGTAGTATGCCCAATTAAATACTGTATAAATAAATAAAATACTGCTTATTGTAATAATTGATAAATATGTGAGATGCACACAGATGAATAGTACGAAGTTAAGTAGCCTATGCATAATATTTTAACTTAAACTTTGTTGCCTTTTTGAGGCCTTTTTGTGCTTTTTGACATTTTAGTTGTTGAATCATTTGGGCTGTGTTTATGCATGGGGCATACATTTTGCCATGCCTGTAAGGGTTTTTTTTATTTGTATGTTCAACTTCAGCTATACTATCATTGACACATACCTGATTAGGAAAACGTCATTTAATATAACGTTCAGAAAAATGATTTGGTGTTTGTGTTGGGGGGACTGGTGATATGTAGTTTAAAAACATTCACCAAGTGAAAGTGTAAAATTATATGAATGTGTAGTATTTTTGTAGCAGTTTTATGAGGGTGATTCATTTTGTAAGGTATACACAAGTAGATAATATATTTTTTAAACTGACTAAACAAAAAAATGCATTTAAATCAATATTGTTGCTAAGCATATATAAGAATGTGAAACAAGTCCCCCTAGAATTATTTTGATTTGTCTATTTTGTTCATGGGGAAACAAAAGTAACAATGTGTAAACAAACTGGCTTTAGAATTCAGAAAAAAATGAATATTTGATAGTGATCAGGATTTCTGTTTTATTACATATTATTCAATGAAAGTGAAAAATAATATTAAGAAATAATGTTAAGGATTTTTTTGGACGATTACGTTATTTCCTCTGAGGACATCAAACAAACTTTGTTTTGCATTACAGTGTCTTCTTGTTAAAGACATTAAGTGTTAAGTCAACCTTTACTTCTGCATCAAGTTCAAGCATGTTCCTCAATGTTGTTATATTTACTCGACTACATTTATATAACAATTTAAATGATATGTACCTTAAATTGAGATCTGATTCAAAACACCTAATGGGCTTGTAAGATATGATGAATGCCCTGTTATGATTATACAACACAGAGGTTCGCATAATTGCTTTAATTACCCTATAAGCTCCACCTTCACCAGTAAACCTTTTACATTAATGCATGAGTAATGAGTTATTATAATCAAAATGTATAATGTTTATCTATGTAGATATATATATATATATTTATAAATACAGATAGATACATTTATAAATATGTATTTATAAGATGTTTTTATAAATATATCTATAAACATACATTTAGACTGTAACACTGGTCTTTTTTTCCTGCATTATGAGAAATATTCAGGACTTTAACTTAAAAAGTACTTTTATATTGCCGTATTATTTGTACCCATGTTAAGGTTTTGAAAGCAGCCGCCAGAGGTCAATATATATATACCAATATATTTTCCCATTGGTGTCAATCCACTCTGATAACAACGCTTCCTCTGTTCACCTCTTACCTTTTGACCTCCCTCTAGAGTGAGCATGACTGACAGACAGATGAGGGAGAGGCGGGAGGTGGCGCTCACAATACAAGAAAACAGAGTTTCCACTGAGGAGGAGCAGCTGCCCTACCCGAACCTGGCCCCTGTAGTTTTCCGCAGCTTAACACAGACCACAAGACCCCGTAACTGGTGTTTGCAAATCGCCTGTGGCCCATATCCTTTTCTTACTGCTGGAAGTTTAACCTAACCTAACATAACTCTCTGACACCTGGTAAAACCAATTATGTGAAATTAGAATAAATATCATATAATTTATGTCTGACTGTCGCATATTACAACATTTTATACATTTGGCCATTATTATTATCATTAATTGCCTCTTTTACATAATCCTCTCATCTCATCCTTTGTGTTTTGACCTTAATATTTTCCTCCACTTGGATGGAGTATATGTCCATACTGATGATCCTGCTCAACTGTGTAAGTTTGGGCATGTACAAGCCCGGTGAAGGGAAGAGCCACAAACTAGAGGTACGTGTAACCGCTGTATTCTTCTGAGTAGGCCTGGGCAGGGAAATGTACTGTGTCATTTACATCTACTTCCAATATAATGAATGCCTAATTGCGAGAGTAGCTTAATTATGACATAACTGGTTAATAATAACTTCTTGTATATTATTTTTTGTAAATATATGCAATACATTTAAAATGTTCCTCCGTGTTTCTGGCCAGGTATTCGATTTTTTTGTCTTTGCATTCTTTCTGGTGGAAATGACCGTCAAGATGGTGGCCTTTGGAGTCTATGGCTACAAAAACAGCTACCTTCGAAACAAATGGAACAAGTTGGACTTCTTTATCAACATTGCAGAGTAAGTGACTCACAATGCAAAGCAGCCAACATATGATCCATAGTGTACACACTGTACAATGTACATATGCTTATCAATCAAATCTATTGTTGATAGGCTTGTTTATGAACAGATTGCTTTAATATTTAGTATTACATTTTGTGATGGTTTTTGTTTTGTTCATGAAAGAAGGCAAATTCAAACTCTTCTCATTGTTTTAACTGTCCCTTCAGGGCGTTTGGATATTTTTTCAATATCCTTGGCATCGACTTTCTACTCTCTCAAGTCTTTGGACCGTTGCGACTGATCAGCAGAGTACCAAGTAAGTTGATATTTAAACACATTTCAGTGTTCCTTAAAACATTTTGTTTTGCAGTGTTTTGTCTTTGAAATATACCTACAATAACTGCTATGTATTTGTGAGTGATACTTCCTCTTTTTACTTATGGTCTCTTACATTTGAGAAATAACAGGTCATTAGCCATGTAAAAATGTAGAACTACATTTAACAACAATTGTAAACATCTTACATTTGTGTTTTAGTATTATAATTATCCCCTTTAATGAATCGTAAGTGCAAAGTGAAAACATCTGATATTCCTATTTCATTCCTATTGAAAAAAACAATTTGTTCTTTAGTGAATCTTTTAGTATTCATACCATTCTTACTAGATATGATGAAAAAGGTATCACAATATTTTTGGGTATGATGAAAATCAAGAATGTATACATCATGATACATACACAGAAATAAAGAAAGATAGTAATACCTCTGCCATCTATTGCAATTCCATACACTGTTCCTGTATCCCATAACAACTGCTGACGGCATCTTTTTGTCTTTATTCCTGTAGGTATGCGGGACGTAGTTACAGTTCTCATAGGCGTCGTGCCCATGCTTGCAATTGTTCTCGTCATCTTCTTGTTTGTCATCCACATCTTTGCCGTGGCCGGAGTCCAGCTGTGGGCGGGCCAGCTGCGCAACCGCTGCTTCCTGGGAGACGACATTCCCACGTAAGGTTTTAGTCTGTTTTTCCATTATTTGCATGTTTTTCCCTCTCCGTCCTGCTTTAACAATGACCAATTCCCAAATAATTCTCCAAGTATTTCTTGATTTTTTTATTATAATTGGTCTATAAATTGTCAAATAATTGTATAGTAAAATAAAATGGCTCATCCCAATTTTCCAGGACCTAAGGAGATTTATTCAGATTCGTTTTATTTAACTAACTTGCATTCAATAGGTATGTATAATACTATATATAGAGAGAAATATAGTGAAAACAATATAATGGTATTAAATTAAATGCATTTCCTCCTTTGATGTGTGAAAATGCTAAGAAAAACACAAACTCACATTTTCTGTATATAAGAACATCAAATAATAATTGTTATTTACCTTGATGACACATGTCACGGCACACATTACATCCTGTTGTATGACTTGGTTTATATTCACATTTATCAATTATTTAACTGAACTGAGTTGTATAACTATGTATCATTAACATGATACACTGCATGTCAATTCTCTATCTCCCAATCACAAAAAACGCATCATGTGAATTCTTAAACATTTGTAATGGTTCACTATTTCTAGTTCATTTCATCTGTCTTTCTTTTTCTGTACAGAAATAACAGCATGTCCCTTAGCCCATACTTCGAGACCGAGTTTGATGAAAACGTTCCGTTTGTCTGTACGGGGGAAGGCAAGAGCGGGATGCAACACTGCCGAGATATACCCCCTTACCAAGAGAATGGGGGAAACTGCTCATTGGCTGCCCCCCACAATGCCTCAGCTGTGAATTGGGGAATCCCTACAGTGGCTTCACACACCTGTGTAAACTGGCACTCTTTCTACAATGTCTGTCGTGCTAGTGAGAAAAACCCCTTACCGGGGAGTGATCAACTTCGACAACATCTTCTATGCCTGGATAACCATATTCCAGGTAATAAGGTCTTTCTTTATAAAGTTTTCTATCTGTGTATGCACCTCAACACCAAGTCAAATTCCCTGTGTGTGTTAATCTACCTGGTAATAAACCTGTTTCTGATTCTGATGCAGGGATACATTTGTATGTGAACATGTGGTAGCATAAAACATGGTGAGCGTAGAGTTCTATGTAATTCACTCTATAAATGTTATTTATATCACTCTATCTCTCTGTCCCCCAAAGGTTGTCACACTAGAAGGATGGGCTGAGATCATGTTTTTCGTAATGGATGCTCATTCCTTCTTGAGTTTTTTATTCTTCATGCTGGTCACCATTGTGAGTAGCCTTTTGTCTTTTTGCAGTTAACAACCTTAGTATTTGACTGTGTTTCTAGGTCTCTAACAACCTCTGAATGATGGTTTGGTATTATTCCATGTGGTTTATTTGAGATCTGGTAGACAAAAGGGTCTGTAAAGTTGGTTAAATAACTTCAGTAACAATCATGAAAACCCAACAGCAGCAGTCAAATACATTGAAAGTGAGTCTTTATTGAATCCAAAATAGTTGTCCCAATGCTGAAACCCTGTTGCATAATAATGAGACTCAATGAATACTTACATTTCACTTTACTCCTGGCTTGCTGCAGTTCTTTTTCAAATGACCTGGAGACAGAGAGCCATCTGATAACTGTAGATTTGTGTTTTTCACTTGGGTTAACAGCAAATGGGAGCTATGTCCTCACAATTTGTTTTACATGTGATCATGTTGAAGAAATATTAAAAGACATATAAGCTACAACTTATTTATTTTGGTTTTGTTATTTAATTTCAGACTGAGAACAAATGATTTGGACACTTGAATTGCACTTTTGCAAAACTTGCAACCCTTTTATTTTCAAATTAAACACTAGAGTTATAGAAAATGGGTAAGAGCATGCAAAAGAAAAGAATAACCAGAAAGAAACTGAAAGAAAATGAGAATGAAGAGGAAAGACAAACGAGGCTTGCTTTAGATTTTTTTCCCAGTTTTTGAGCAGTTGCACTAAATACCCTTTCTTTACTTCCCCAACCAGATGGGCTCCTTCATCATAGTCAACGTCTGCGCAGTCGTCATCGCCACCCAGTTCTTGGAGAATATGAAACTGAAGTCAGAAGAGCCGAGTCCCGGTGCTGCGCGTAACACTCTGCCTCTGCTCTGTCGAAGGTTTGCCTGTTGGCTACGGAGGTTCAACAGGTAAGTCACTCTTTAAGCTCTGTATACTGTACAACCAGGATGTCAGTACCACTTACTGTAAAATGCATTGTGTTTTTGCCGTCAAAATAGTACTTTTCAGTGCTGTTGTGTGTACAACGGTGTAAGATTATGCAAGATGCATTATTCGATTACTTCCAGAAGATAATCCTACAGTATATGCAAATGCCGTAGTCATAATATAGCTTTTTTTGTTTCAGGTTGGGAATGTCTAGGTAGAGAAAAATAAATGTCCTTTGCACCCAGAGACAAATGTTAAAATGAATCTTGAATATGATCTTAGTTCAACGTGCCTACTGCTCTCCATGTGAAACTGAATGTGTTGGCATGGAATAATTGCATTAGTCAATATGTGTTTTCTCAGAATGGGACCCCAAAAATGTTTAGAGGCAATTCCAGAAAGAGATTCATTCAAAAGCAAACAAAGATGAAAATACACAGAACAAAACATGAAATCATTATTTAACATGGAACTAACTCTCTCTTGGTCTTTTTTAGTTACTTACTGTTGTTCATGTGCTTCAACCCATAGAAGTAACAAGGTGCAACCCAATGCCGGCCAAAAGGGAACTTTGGGATCGGTGAGGCTCGTCAGCAGCTTTCTGCAGTACCAATGTTACAACACTGCTGCCCCATCTAACTGACTCCCTTATCTTTTAGATTTTGACACCCTTCAACAAGCACATTCAGACGTTGGTTGAGAGCTCACAATTCGACCATGTGATCATGTTTGCTGTTTTCCTCAGTATTATCACCATTGCAGTTGAACATCATAATCAGGTGAGGAGCAAAGTGTTTCTTTGTCTAGGCTTCTATGGATTCCTGTGGTTTGATTAGAGTATTTTGTTATGCTGGGGGTGAAAAGAGGAATACTATAATGAGATATTAACAATTTCTTCTTTTCCTTCTTTATTTTCCTTTTTGGCTCTTCCAACAGCCTCCTGAGATGACATACGTGTTAAACATCTGTAACATCGTTTTCACATTTGTATTTTTTGTGGAGATGACGTTAAAACTGGTCGCACTCCGCTTCAAATACTTTTTTGATCTGAACAACATCTTCGACTTTGCCATTGTTATTGTCAGGTAATGTAATCCCATCCAGTCCCACATGAGAACTACACTCAGAGTTATATCCTGTAAAATCTTTGAAATGTATATTACGTTCAACCAATTTCATTATTTGGGGTCTGACAATTCTACACAAAAATGGAGGTTTATGACACTGACTCCATGTATATATTTATACAAGTTATCAATGTCGGAAAGTAACTTAGTGCATAATTCAAGTATTGTACTCTAATACTTAATTTATTAACCCTCATAGTGAGTTACAAATAAACACACATGATACGCTGATATTATATGATTGACCAACCACGTCATTAAAATGATATGACGTGTATTTGTTGACGATAAAAAGCAGAATAATATTATGCTATGCCTATGATACCATAATCAGTACTGGAGATAAGTTAAGTTCATGCACTCAATAATTGTATTAAAGTTCATTGATAAGTACCTGTTACGGTGGCCCTGAAGTGCAAGACACCACAGCATTTCACAAAACACAACAGCATTTCAGAAAACACAACAGCATTTCAGAAAACACAACAGCATTTCAGAAAACACAACAGCATTTCAGAAAACACAACAGCATTTCAGAAAACACAACAGCATTTCAGAAAACACAACAGCATTTCAGAAAACACAACAGCATTTCAGAAAACACAACAGCATTTCACAAAACACAACAGCATTTCAGAAAACACAACAGCATTTCAGAAAACACAACAGCATTTCACAAAACACAACAGCATTTCACAAAACGCCACAGCATTTCACAAAACACCACAGCATTTCACAAAACACAACAGCATTTCACAAAACGCCACAGCATTTCAGAAAACACCACAGCATTTCAGAAAACGCCACAGTATTTCACATTGGACGGAAAGGGTATTCCTTAGGGAGAACGTCTTCTTGTTTGTGATTGGACAGAGCCAGCCATAGAAGCACTGCTGTGATTGGTTGTTTTTGCTGCCAGTCACGAAATTACGCTTCGTGATTGGCCCAACACATCAGCCGTTAGCTGTTAGCACACACTCAGAGCTCACAGCTCCTCATATCTGTTCAGAAACTGGACAAAAGTTCAACATATACAAAACACAGACTGTCTATGTCATGGTGAATACAGTCGCTGCTTTATTTATGTCTGTATGACGTTGTTGTGAGTGTGGACGGAGCAGCTACAGGTTCGTTTAGCCTGAGGGTTCGATTCAACCGGACTATACAAGGCAGGTGTGAACGCACCCTAATTGCTTACTGTAAATCTTATATGGTTCTATGCCAATAATGTCCATATCTCACCTAATTTTTAGGTTAAAGGGAAAGTACTTCAATTTACATTTTGCTGCTAATACCTTTACTTAAGTTAGTGTTTCTTCTTGTTTGTGGTGTTCAGTGTGTGGGAGCTAATTGCCAAATCAGATGGCAGGTTGTCAGTGCTGCGCGCTTTTCGTCTGCTGCGGTTTGTGAGGCTTCTTCACTTCCTTCCATACCTGCTGAGACAGCTGCTGGTGCTGAAGAGGACCATCGCCGAGGCAGGCCCGCTCTGCATGCTGCTGCTGTTCTTCACTTTCGTTTGCAGGCATGTACACACACAGATCCAACCTCCCTCTCTATCATTCGTTCGAGACATTTGTAGTATGGCAGAAAATCCCATATTATATGTTCTATACAATAATGATCACCCATGAGATACACACATTTGAACAGTGGTAATTGTAGACGTATACTCAAGTACTTTACGTAGTTATAATTTGGAATACATTAATATTATCTGGCACTCAGAGGTAAACATTTTACTTTTCTGCAGTTAATTTATCTGACACTCGGTTACTTTTTATATAAATAACATGGTGTGTTGATAAGATATATACACTACTATTCTACTCAGCAGTACACAAACTATACAACATGTTCTCGACATCTCGTACTTTTACTTTTGATACTTTAGATACATTTAGCTGATAATACTTCTCTACTTTTACATAAGGAACATTTTGATCTCAGGATCTTTACTTGTAATGGAGTATTTTTAGAGTGGTATTACATAATAAGTAAAGGGTCTGAGTATTTCTTTCACCCCTGGATTTCAATGATGTTGTGGTTTCTCTGCAGTGTACTGGGTATGCATCTGTTTGGTGGTCAATTCATATTCAAGGACCCTCAAGGAGATATAATCATTGAGCGAAAAAACTTTGACACCCTGCTCTGGTCCATGGTCACTGTGTTCCAGGTACGTTTTTGTATTTCTTAATTTGAGCTCTCATGATTGTAATCCACCCTTATTGTACCATTGTTTGCCTTAATATCTATCAGTGATATACTCTTTGAATCTATTAATCCAGATTCTGACTCAGGAGGACTGGAACATGGTGCTGTACAACGCCATGACGGCTACCACGCCATGGACTTTCCTGTACTTTGTCACCGTCATTATGTTAGGAAAACATGTACTTCTCAATATTCTCGTGGGCATAGTGGTTCAGAGCTTCCAGGAAAAGGTAAAGACCTCTGTCTTCTCCAAGAGCTCAATGTTTTACACACAAAAGCTAAGCACACTCAAACACTCACATTCACACCAATGCCGTACTCTACTTCCTGTTGTTCCAGGAGTCCTCAGAATGCGTTCAAGACTCTTCTCACGTTGACGAGGATTTCAACGACTCTGTAACCAGCTTCACCTCAGAGACAGTAAGTCCCTAAGAGTCATGAATCTTTGAGATGTTGGTGAGAAACTTTTTTGCTTCTCCCTTGTTGAGATAATAGTTACGGTTTGTAAGACATGGGGTGATGTACCTGCTCAGTCATAGACACTGTCCCACACACACCTTGCTATTTCATTTTGTTCCAGGACCCCTCGAGACCCAGCCAATCTCCCTTAACCTCTGAGAAAGACACTGAACCAGCAAATACCCAAGAAGACAATGTAAGTTCCTATGAGTAAAAGTTATAGTATAGAATATAATAGATAGTTCTTAAGTCTGGTTTTGAACTCAACCGAGAGTTAATCCTGGGGTGAAAATGTTAGGTTATTTGCATAAATATGGTCATGTGTCTTTGCCGGAAATCTCTAAGCAACATGTATGCTAGTGTACTGCTTTAATGTTCATGGGGGTTCTTTTAAATATTTATTTCATGCTTTGGCTAAAGAGAGGCAGCGGATGTGTAACTTCTACCCTCCCTCTTCAGAAACCTTTGACCTGTATCCAGCAAATGCTCCACTGGTGCAAGGAACATGAAGAGTGGGCATTCTACGTCTTTTCTCCACAGAACAGGTACGATTAATAGGTAACGATATTTCTATCATCATCATCTGTACTCAAAACATTTAATAAATAATAATTAACATGTCAGGGCCAAATAATCCGTTTGTCCATCATACACGAATACTTTTTGATTGTGAAACAGGTTTTTAAATGCATTGCATGTGGTGTTAAAAAGTCTTATGCTTATTTATTTTTAAACTGCAGAATCTGCGACCAGTTTGAGCCAGTCACATCGCATTTGATTGATACATCTATGTGTAGATTTCCGATTTCAAAATGTATATTTCAATGTTTTACAGGAAGTGAAAAAGAGAGATTTTGATAAACAAACTTGATGTATTTTTTGCATATCCCAAGGGAATCAAAAATATTTAACATCTCACTTTCTCTTGTAATTGCTTCCTCTTATGTTTAACGGACTTTGTTAACTAAGGTATGTGTGTATGTCTTTAGGTTCCGAATATTTTGCCAACGTTTGATCTATCACAAGTTGTTTGACAGCACGGTTCTCCTATTCATCCTGCTAAGCTGTGTCACCATTGCTATGGAGAGGCCTGCAATACACAATGAAAGCACGGTGAGAAACCTGCAATTACTGTTAGTCTGGAGACATAAATTAAACCCTCAAACACAACCCTATCTAATCAGACACACACAAGCATCGTACAATCAATGTAGAACACACACAGTAATCATATTACATGTACTGTGGGATGAGAGGAGGCATCAATGCAGAATAAGAGACACACAAAGTCAAGATGAATGTTTTGCATCTTATGGAACAAATAATATGTAATATGAGTTTTGATTAAATGTAATACAAATACAGGCAGGATATAATTGAATCTCACCCTGCCCTTTAGGAGCGATGGATCCTGAATATGTCGCGTTACGTGTTCTCCGGTGTCTTCCTGGTAGAGATGCTCTTTAAGGTAAGATCTGTTTTGTTTTTTAACATTTTTACCTTTATGACCCCTAATTTGTTAAATTAACTGTCCAATACCTGCTGGGTGGAGATCAGAAATGAGAATTAAAGGAAAATATATAAACAATATATTGCAAATCAAACAAAAAGATAAAGTTACATTTTTGCATTCATAATTTTCTAGCTTTAAATACATTTTGTAGCTCAGATTTTCAGGAGTATTTGAAAAAGGCCCATATTATTGTATTAAGACGTCTTAATTGATCCATTGTTGCTGTAACAACAGGTTGTAGCTCTCGGTGTGTTCTTTGGGAAGGACAGCTACTGCAGCTCTTCCTGGAACGTCATGGATGGTTCGCTGGTGATTCTGTCGGTAATTCATATCATCATCTCTCTGGCCAGTTCGGGCGAAAACAACATGCTGGGCATTCTCAAAGTTTTGCGCCTGCTACGGACACTTCGCCCACTGAGGTACAACAGAGCATAGATGTGTGTTTTCTTTTTGTGTGGATTCATGCACATGTTTATGTAATATGGCTGCGCTGGCATCACACCTCATGTCATAGTTGGGTAATTTGGCAGTGTGTGTGTGTGCTGGTTCTAAGAAAAGTTTGTTTATGTCTGTTATCCAGGGTGATCAAGCGGGCCCCCAAATTGAAGCTGGCTGTGGATGCTTTGATCACATCCATCAAACCCATCGGTAACATTGTTTTCATCTGCTGCACCTTCTTCTTTTTCTACAGCATCCTTGGGGTACAGGTACTGTGGAAATGCACGCACACACACACACTTATCCTATGCATCGAAAGTTAAGGCTTTGTAATGACATGGCAATGGTGGATTAACACTCTGTCTCTGTTTCTCTCTCACACTGTACACTGTAGCTGTTCAAAGGGAAGTTCTTCCACTGCTTGGGTCAATACACAAAGAACATCACCAACAAGTCTGACTGTCTCTCAGCCAACTATCTCTGGGTGCAAAAGCCGTACAACTTTGACAGCCTGCCTCAGGTAAGGACTGACGCTCTGTGAATGAGACAGGGAAAGGCATGGAGGCCGCAAGCATTCATGACAGCATCTACAAACACAAAACTAACAAAATAGACACTAGAAATGAAATTGGTTAATCATGCTTAACATTCATATATTTAAAAAAATGTCATCTTATCTTCACCCAATGTGGTCCATTATATACTTAAATTACCCTCAAAAAGGTTTTACTTTATTGTTGTTTACACAGAGTTATTTGTAGTGTCTTTGATGTTTAAGCAAATAAGATGAACACTTAATAGAAATAGCAGTGTGATAACTTCACAGTTCTTTCTTTGTTTCCAATTTAGGCTCTGATGTCCCTTTTTGTGATGTACTCAAAGGACGGATGGGTGAACCTAATGTATGATGGACTGGATGCTGTGGGAATAGACCAACAGGTATTTTTGTTGGCAATATGCAACATGTACACATGGTATCAGAAGAAATAAATTCTTATGTTTATTTTCTTCTCTTCTAAGCCCGTGAGAAACCATAACCAGTGGATGCTTGTTTTTTTCATCACGTTCATGGTTATGAGCTTCTTCCTCCTCGATATGTTTATCGGTGTAATGGTGGAGACCTTCGCCCGGTGTCAGCAGCAGCAAAAAAAAGAAAATGAAGAGGAAGCATCACATGACCCGAGCAGGAGTAAGGAGCCTTTTAAAGTCTAAAAACCACAACACTGAAAACAATGTACAAAATGTATTCAGAACAGATAGTGTACTGGGTTTACAAGATTATTTTTGTTGAAAACTAAAAATGTGATGTGACCGTATGTGTGTAAGTCTTCCAATACACACTTCATTACACCCATTGTCGATATAGAAATATCAATAAATGCAGTTCTAAATACTTTGGGCGTTTGTAACTAATATGTCTCCCATCTCTGTTCACATTCATCTGAATATCTCCATCTTTGTGTGTCTACATTTCAGACAAGCCTAAGAAGATACCTACGCAGCCTCCATATTACACATACTACTCCCCGATGCGTCGCTCCATACACACTCTGTGTACCAGCGACTTCCTTGACGTCTTCATGACTGCCGTCATTTTGATCAGTGTCCTCATCATGGCCTTGCAACATTACAAACAACCTCTGGTAATTGCACACACCGTCCCTGTCTACAGCTTAGAAATGCCACAAAAAAGGAATGTGCATTGACTCTAGGAGGGGATGGAAATAAACCGTTTGCTGTCTTTGTGTTCAGTATATAGAATTGCTCACAGAGTATTCGTACTATGCCTTCACTCTCCTCCTGATCATTGAAATCCTCTTGAAGATTCTGGCGTTTGGCATACGGAGGTTCCTCCGAAACAGGTAACACGCTACAATAATGGAGAATTCAATTTCCTTATTTGCATGTTAGGAAACGTCAGTACTCATAGTGTTGTGTGCATAATGTTTGTGTTTGTTTAGTTGGAATCATCTGGATGTGGCGGTTGTCTTGGTTTCCGTCGTCAGCATTGTTTTCATTGGGATGGAAATGGCCGACTGGATTCCCATTAATCCCAGCATCCTGAGAGTCTGTAGAGTTCTCAGGCTAGCAAAAGGTACACACACACACACACACACACACACACACACACACACACACACACACACACACACACACACACACACACACACACACACACACACACACACACACACACACACACAATCTCAGACACACACTTGAAAAAGGGAAACGTTTCTTAAGGATAGCTTTTGGTGCGAAAATGTCTAATTAAGTGTATGTGTTTTGCATGCATATACACAAAGTCATTCCTAACATCTCCTGTGTCTCTCCTCAGTGCTGAAGCACAAGAAAATAAGAGTCCTCCTGAAAACAATTATCAAGACGCTGTCACAGGTAAAAACTTGATTTTGTTTCTGCTAGATTCATTATAGATGCAAAATGAGAAATAATTATTTTAATTTCCATGGAGATGTTCCTGCTACATTTGTGCTAGAGTTGATAAATATTTGAATGTTTAAAGTATGCAGATTGTGATCCTGATGTATCTCTGTTTGGACCCTAGAGAGCCTATAACGCTAGTCAGTTTTATTATTGAATTCGCAAACCAATAAAGATCTTATTATATTGCTTTTACAGTAGTCGTAGATCTCTGGTCATTTAAAAGTTCTCTATCATTTTACAGATGTCTCTGTAAATGGAGCAGAACATAAAATGCTACTAAAAAAAGGTGCCATGCTTAAAAAACATTGGTAATCAGAAATAAAGGCTTGTCATTTCTTCTAGCTAAGGCACATAAGGTCCTGGTCCCTATTTGAAGATCTACAGATTGTAGTGTTTGTTGTTGTTTGTGGGAGATCTAACATGCATTTTAATTTTGTTTAGGTTGGGAGCATTTGTCTTCTGTTCGCTTTTTTTTTCTTTATATACGCTGCGCTGGGAGTGGAGCTCTTCGGCAACCTAGGTCAGTCACACTACTAGCAGAGTACACACATCAATATGAGAAAGAGACACATTTTCTTGATACATTTTTTTTTTTGTGGATGAATACACTTGATTTTTGTTTGAAAACAGTATCTGTATGTTTGAATTGTGTGCTTCTGTTTCCATCAGAATGTACCGAAGAGAATCCCTGCCTTGGCTTACATCGGCATGCTAACTTTGAGCATTTTGGCATGGCCCTGCTCACGCTGTACCAAGTGTGCACCGGAGACAACTGGAGCGCAATAATGAAGGTAGGTCACTGCTGAGAGAGCAATCTGTGAGTCAGTCTATCAGCCTGTCTGAATCCTGCCCTTTGTTTCTCAAGGACACTTTGAGGGAGTGTCGTCCCACCGACATCGATTGTGTGACCTACCTCTCCCACGTCTCCCCCATGTTCTTCTCCTCCTTCGTGGTCATGGCCCAGTTTGTACTGGTCAACCTGGTGGTGGCAGCCATAATGCAGGCTCTGGAGGACAGCAACGAGGTACAGTTGCTACAACAATCACAGACCAAGAAAGCACAGAAACACATAGCCAGTATTTATAAACAACAGCTGTAAATCTTTAACAGGTTTGTAATTTCTTATATTTTATAATAAAAGAATCCTATTACGTTTTTTTTTTGGGGTCACATTATATTAAAAGTACAGTTTTGCAAATCATATATTTTTAGAGACCCGAAAATTATAAATTAAATACCGAACAAAATTAGTCAAATAAAAACGAAAAAATACACAGGGGTTGTTTGAAATGACAAATATCTACACATGTACATTAAGTTTCATGGAAAGAGCAATATAACAGCTACTTATTTTTTGGTATTTAAATCTTAGTTTGAAAGCTAAAAATACTATTAGATAATACAAACAAATATTAATAATTATAAGACAAATCAACTTTTATTTCTTATTTTAAGATTTAAATACCAAAGTAACAGAGGAATATTTTAATATTTCAGAGCAACCCCACTAATTTCTGTCTCCCCCTGGAGGAGGAGGACGAGGAGGATGAGGAGGAGGAGGAGCCGTCGGACAATGCAGGCACGAGTCTCCGGGGCAGTGTTGGTGTTTTAAGTAATGAGTGAATATTTGTAAATGTGATTACTTGAAGTTTGATTCTTTGTTTCTGTACCTTTTTTTCATAACATGAATAAATAGAACTTGATTTCCACATGGATCACTTTTTACTTTTCTATTCATTCATTTCTTGTTTTGGTTGTTATATAAAAATACTTCAGATCTAGTATGAAGAATCAATGTGAAACACCTCGACAAAGTCCCTTGGCCATTATGACAATACGACAGCAATTGGATGGAAAGAAAACACACGAGGCAGTCCTGAACACATACATGCTTAAATTATTAAGAGCAAAGTCTACTTCTTTAAAGGGTAAGGAGATGTCAGAGGGTGGTATGGGAACATGTAACAAAAACAGAGCATGAAACATGGAGGCTTTTAGATTTTCAGCATCTCAAGTTTTGACCTCTTTACAGGGAGAAAGGCTATTGCAAATAGACTTGTAGTTTTTGAATGTATATTTTCCTGTTCCAAAAGAGTAAGCATACAACAGGACATTACAGGAAGACGAAGAAAAGTCAATCTCACCTTTACTCCTTTATTTCATTGATTTCATGGTACACACAATATAAGGTAATTTGCTCAAACCATAGCTTGGCTTCCATAGTTAATCCTAGTAAGGCCAGTCACAAAAATATACTATAATGACACAACATATTTGCAGGCAGAACAATGTGTATGAAAGGTAACTGTTTTTCAGAGCATAAATAACAATGAAATTGTATTAAAAACCACACCATTGAACACATTTTATGAAAATAAATGGTAGAAATCAAGGTCCTCATCCATCTTCGTATGGGGACATGATAACATCTGCAGTGAAGAAGGTTTTTTCTCTTCTATTACAGACAGAAATGTAGGTTTTTGTTTACCACAGAGGGGCTCTGCTCAGCACCCCCTTCCAGCTGCGAGAGTCTGCAACCTGCGACAAAACAGGGAAGTGTGTGCAAACACAAAACAGAAAAATGTGCAGTAAGAAACACATCGTATGCAAAAACAACGGAGAGACTTAAAGAATATTGAAACCTTTGTGTATGTTTCTGAGATGTTTGCAGCTAAATGAAAAATTACAATAAGATGAAGTATTTATTTTTGTTTGATCAGAATGACTTGCCTGCATTCTCTTATGAAGAAAGCTCAACTTCTGGTTGAGACATTCAATCTCCTGAGGAAAGACAGAGGCCATGGTCACGTGGATGTAGGGATAACTCTTAACAGTATAACCGTAAAACAAACTATCCCCGTAATATTGTCATATTTTCACAATATTATCAAATAATTGTTCATGACTAAATGGTCAGGGTTACGCTCATAGGCATGGCTGTGTTATGGTTAACATTGTGTTCCCTGTTAAAACCAGAGGAAAATACCTGGCTTAGTTTTTCGTCGCGTCTGAGTTGGATCTCAGGCAGAAGCTCCTCCAGTCTCTGAATCTACAATAAAACATGGAACTTAATTCAAAACATGATAATGTTAATTCTTAAACAAAACTTAATTCATGTTATGCTTTAAAATTCAGACAAAATAAAAATTGCATGAAGAAACAGTCAATTCGCACATAATAATATATTTACAGTAAAACAGGTAAACAGACTTTACCAAACACTATGTATTTTAGTATAGTTCTCAGCTGTGTTTTCCTGCACTTAATAATCTCCTCATTGACACATAAAACATAATGAAGGCTATTTCAAAGGAAACACAAGAAAGCAATGTTATGTTAGAGCAGCCCTGCTGATTAAACCATGAATCATCTGCGATAACCAAACCTCAGTTATAGTAATATGACTGTGTCTGTCTTACCCTCCTGTCAATAGTCTGTAGCCTGGTCTTCATGCTCTTGTTCATCACGGTCATGGGAATGGTTCTGGGTGCCGGACGCACTGGGAACAGAAACATCACAACCTGTCCAGATCTGGATCCACAGCTTAAGAAAACATTATCAAAGGGAACAAAACGTGACTCCACTCTTACCATGCTGAAAGATCTTGGATACTTCAAGCACATAAGGCCTGTAGTAAAAAAAAACACATGTCACCAGATGATATGAGTAAGTGCTTGCACTGAAAAGACCGACTACAGTCAAAGACTCCTTACACATGCTTGCTGTTAGCAGGGATCAAGCTGTTCAGAGGGATCAGACAGCCACGATGATTCCTTACCTGCAACCATAGCAAAGTTAAATGAATCTTTCAACCATTTCAGCAACAACCAAACGCTTGTTTTCAAATCAGTATTTTTCAGTATTCAGTTTTGTTTTCACCTTGTGTGTCTGTGTTTGCATTAGTTTGTCATTGTGGCAAAATGTGCTGGAGGCCATTGGCTCTCCCACGGTTTGTCCTTGTGACATCACTACTTTTTTTTCTTTTCAACAATATCATGCAGACATATAAATATCATTCAGACAAATCTCTCACATGAGGACAACATAGTTGTTTTACCTTGAATATGACATCAGAAGAGTTCAGCCTAAAGGTAGTGCTGAGAATCTGAAAGAAAAAAAAAATTAAACCACCAGAGCATTTCAGTTATTTAGGTATTTTCATAAATGATCTCTAATAATATTGTAATGTTTATATATTTATATCTGATAGGTGAGCAAGAACATATTTACAGGTGTGATTATAATGAGGTTGAAATGCACACCTGTATGACCGTGGGGACCTCAGCTGCTGGAGGAATGGACACTTCTCGAAGAGCCACCACTCTGTCATCTGCAACAGATACAACATTAGATACTGTCTCTCTCTCTCTAAAGGCTTTATTAATGAAGAATATGTTTTCTAATTCTGTATAGTTTAGTGATAAGCTGTTTATCTATGCCCACTTATATATTTTGGTTTTATGTATAAACATACAAACAAGATGTCTTGAAATAACAACTATTGTAAGCCGATCACGATCCAGTGCAACGTACACAAGTGTGATATTGACCCTTAAACCCTCTAATAATGTTTTTTTTTTATTTACTTTATAAGCATATTTAAATGATGTGTTAACCAAAAGAGCACTATTGCAACCACAAACACACACAAATACCCGGGATCATTTAGTTACTTTAACATTACTCCCATATTCACAGGACATAGGATTTGTATTCACTCTTTGAATAACTAAATCAGAGATCAGGGGCCTCATTTATAACGCTGTGCGTAGGATTCACGTGGGAAGGTTGCTTACGTAGTAGAAATCCAAAAAATAGGTACAGACATTTTCCGACATTTTCCGATTCACCAAACATTGCGCACCGGCGAGGAAAGTGCGTACAGTACTTCCTACGCCGGTTTCCCTTTATAAATCACAACCGACTCGAAATGCGGTGCAGCTTTTGCGGGCTTCACGTAACGCCCATATTTGCCTATAAATAGTCAAAGAAACGCCCATTCATTCATTCATTCTGACTGACTTTATGAAGAAGATCGCAGGAAATGACGACAGAACAGCTAAAAAAGACATCTCACACCGTGTCAGATTTTGGTTATTTTGGGGAGGTCGAGATAAATCATATTGTTTGGTGGATGCAGTTTGAACCAGAGTAGCAGCATGGAGGTCGGATCGTCACCAAAATAAATAAATAAATGGCCCGAAAAAGGTTCATGACAAAAACAATACACATAGCCTTCCTCAGGCAGTGTGTTTGTACCGGGGACAGGAGACACCCCCTTGATGAGAAACTGTAAGAAGTGAACGGGGAATCCCCCCGGTGTGGAGTCATGACGACCAGTGCTTGAATTGGAATGAAAAAGGTGCCAGTACTCTACAATCAGCAACTTTTTCAAGTCAATTTTATATATACAGCCCACAAACAAGAATTTGGCTACTATAATGCTGGTGGGTTTGTCTCTTTACTACTGTATATTTTAGAAAGGTTCACTGTACTTAACATTTTTTATGATAGGCAGCGGATATGGCTAAAGCTCAGTAAGGTCAATATTAACTGAAAATATAGCAATCAAAGTCTAGATCTTCTGCTGAAGACACATGAAGCAGAGACCTTTCAGGTGAGAGCCCCTCTGGTGGTGTTCAACATTACTGACAAGGAAACAAAGCTCTGGTCAGAAGCATTTTTTATAAAAAGCTTTAACAAAATTAAGTATTTCTGTACATTTTGAATGCAATCTAACTTTCCAACTCAGAAAACGAAAAACGAAAAAGTGCCAAAAGTCTTCTCACATGGCTGAGCTGCTTTGCAATATACTTCACCACTGAAGAATACAAATATGTATAAAGTAAACTATGATGCAATCTAACTTTCCAACTCAGAAAAATGATAAAGAGCATGAACAAAGAACATGTAAAAACAAATGCAAAATGTGCACAATCTAAAATGAGAAACTGTAACTGCAAGTAACAAAGTCTGAGCCATGGTAAAGAGTTACATTGAACACCAAGCTGATCAGATAACTCCCTGGTTGGTCTGAAGTCCTTCTATCTCCAGGATCTGTACAAATCGGCACATTATGCCAAAAGTCTTCTCACTGGGTGAACTGCTTTGCAATATACTTCACATTGTTAGAAAAGGCTCCAGAAGGCCTTGGGGACATCAGTATCAGGGGCTGGAGCTGGACAGGCTCTTTCATCAGCACTTCTCCTTCCCTTTGCCAGCCAGGACCTCACATACTGTTCCGGATTGAACTGTCCTAGTGATGGTCCATTACATTTAATGAAAACCAGGCTGGACAGTCGGCTGACAGAGAGAGCATTCCTTTTTGCAGTAAGGATATCGTTCATGCAGCTGAATGCCCGCTCACACTCACTAGTGGAGACAGCGATGTTTCGGACTGCTTTCAGTAGAGGTTCCATGGCAGCAGGTGTACGGGATGCCCTGGTTTCCTTGTATTCGCGAAAGCCCTGAACAGTCTCTCTTCTGTCCACTTTCAGCACTTCGCACAAACGTAGCACCTCTACGTCCCCATACTGTACGTCTAACTCCTCTTCAGGCCAACTTCCAGGATGGATAACTTTCATGTCCTGGATTAGCTGATTGTCCCGGGCCTCCCGGCCATGTAATGGGATTTCTCTTGTGCTGACATGAGAGGAGGTTGTGGAAGTCATTCTGTGTCTCAGATTCTCTACCATACTGCGGAAAAACTGACCTGCATGAATCTGTACAAGCCTGCCATTCTCACGCAAGGCAACACCCTTGAAGGACTTCTCAGCTAGAGCTGTATGAACTGTAGTCATGTGTGGGCCAGGCATGGTGACCATGGATTCAAAAACTCGTATTTCTCGAGTTAAGAGCCTATCTGCTGTAGGCAGTGTCATCTCTCTTTTTTGGAGTTGCCGAGAGAGGTCGCTGAGCTCTGTGAGCGCATCGTACATCAGTCCCAGATTGCTGACAAACGTTGCAGATGTGAGCACATCATCCAGGCCCTTGTACTTTGCTCTGTCTCTGGAATCCCTGCTCGTGTCGTTTGCAGCATTTGTGAAGTGATCATGAAGCACTCGGTAGTTTTTCCCAGACTGCTCTGACGCTCCTTTCACTTGAAGCCACCCAGCGGATGGACAAAACACGCCCTATCACCAGGAGACGCTGTCCGACTGCTTGCGCACACTGCGCTAACTGCCTCTGATTTTTGGGGGAGGCATGGAACAAGGAATAGAGTTTGTCAAAAAAGATCTGGAAATGATTGAGCCCTGAGACCTCCTTGACCACATCCCCAACTGCCAGCTCTAGACGATGATTGGAGCAGTGCCACACAAACAGGCTTGGGAATTTACTACACAACTGGGTAGCAACGCCTGTTCTCTTCCCTAGCATGACTGAAGCCCCATCACATGCAAAGAAACGAAACACTGACCTAAAAAGTCCTCGTTAAAATCTCTTCCAAGACACTCCATTAACGCCTTTGTGATGTCATCAGCCGTTGTTCCATCCAACTCGATCAGCTCCCAAAAAAACGTTTCGGGCTCAGCATCAGCTAATGCTGAGCGTAGACACACAACAAGCACCGTTTTACCACTAATAGTGGTAGATTCATCGACCAAAACACAGAGTTTTCTTTGGTTTTCTGTAATGTCTTTTGCCATTTTTTTCTTCAGCTCATGAGCTATGTGGTCGATGATTTCGCCACAGGTTTTATTGGAGTGCAAAACCCTGCCCACGTTCAGCCCATTCAGTTTCTGTACATTCAAATCAATTGGCATGTCTGTGAATGGCCGGCTATGTTTGCCAATTTTATATGCCGTTCGAAAAACTCTGATAGTGGTGTCTAATTCAGATTTATGCATAGACTGCACTTGATGTTGAATAGTTTCACGTGAAGCAGATGTAAGGATGTCAGCAGCTTTTACATGGGCTTGTGATTCTTTATGTTCTTTGATTTTTTTTCCTCAGGCTAGCTTGTTGTTTGCCCTTGTCAACACCGAAATGAGACACTGCACACTCACCCCATTCAGTTGACAGTTTCAGTCCTTGTCCAGTGTGTATTCCCAAAGATTTGACATCTCTGCATATCCGACATCCTAGCTTCTATCTTTAAGAAGGAGCCATGCATTGGTCTTGCAAAAATATTGCACCTGGTCCGTTGTCCAGCAGTCAGGTGCATCGCTTTGCCCGGTGTTGGTGGTGGCAGTTGCGCCAGCAGCAGCTAACGTTAGAGGCTCTGGAGGAGGCGGCGGAGCTAGTGCTAATGATAATGCACTAGAACTTGGAGCAGGAGGATCAACCAAAGAAAGCTCCCCATCAGACACAATTTCCAACACAGGCACAGCATTCTCTGTATTTGAAGTTTCTTCCGGCGACAACCGCTGTCTTTTTGCACTTTTATTAATCCACGCTAACATTTTAGAAATGCTAATTTGTGACGTGACTTGCTTTCCTTCTCTCGGGGGCGTGCCTGCTCTGTTCTATCACGCTACATAGCCACCCACTGGGTGGGAGTTGCACTGCATAAACACAACACACGTGCATCTAGGTATGTAAATTGTAAAGCATTAAAACATGGTTTTACTAACAGTTTTCAGTATGTTGTTACTTCGGCATTATTATTATTATTATTTTGAAACGTGTATTACTATTAAATCACGGTCAAATAGGTTAATTTTGACATAGTCGTTTCCACCACAGTATTTACATGGAGAAGATAAGCCCCGCCCCCTCTCCAGCACGTTCTGTTTGAATGACAGGAGTAAACAGCTGACAGCCGCTGTGAAACTCCAGCGGTTAAAGCGATGAGAATGTCCGTTCGGCACCTCATGACGCATCTACTGAGTACCGGGCGGCTGTATATATATATATGGATGTATAATAAGAACGGCGGGAGAGTTTTGAGTACTGGCACGGTGCATGAGTACCGGAGTACCGCCAGCATGCCGGTACTGAGCAAGAAGTGCCGGTACTCCATGGGTCAGAACCAGAAGTGCCGGTACTGCGTACCGGTGCGTACCGGCCCAATTCCAGCACTGATGACGACTGGATCTGAATGATGTTTTTGTATTTGGTGGTTTGTGTTCCAGCTGTCGATCAGCTGTGCGCAGCGTCTCCACTGCAGCCTGTGCGTCTCAACCCCCCCGCAGCAACCCTATATCCACCAGTTAAAGGAAATACAACTAATGTGTTGTGTTATAGGCTATTAGCTGTACAATTTACCACATATGGTGTTCTTAGCTTCCATACCTCCTGTGTTTTACGAGCGACTTATCAAGTCTTGGCAAACGGCATAAAACACGATTAAACATGATAGTAGGCCAATATAAAACCATGCTCGTATCTATAGAAATGCAAAACGGCGTCAGTTTAGACGTAATTCTGTCCTCCTGCTTACCGCATCATTTATGAGAAAACATTTCATAACATTAACACAACATATTCGAGGTGGTTTTCAATAACATATCCGTATTTATTTATTTCTCCAAGTTATGTTTTTGTGTGCATTGAGGAGTCTGTTTGTTTAATCATTTTAAGATTGGCTTTAATCAATGTTTGAAAATGAATTATTCATATATGATAAATGAGAGGTAACATTTTATTTATGGTATTATTTCCACATATTTCTCTCCATTCTTCCTTCTGCCAACGGTGTCGCAGTTTCTCGTCTCTTCCGTTGTTGTGCTTAGTGCGTACGCATGGGTTAGTTTGCGTGGAGGACCGCACGTTTTCCCGTCAAGTTAGTATTTTATAAATCGCAAACATTGCGTAGAAACTGGCGTACGCCATCTTTTGAGCGTATATCCCTTTATAAATGAGGCCCCAGGGCCGCAGCCAATCACTCAACAGTCAGATACAGTTGCTGTTGTTGTTTTCCTCTTTGACCATTTATAGAAGTAGGTTTTAAAACAACTGACATTTGCAGAAGTTAAAGAAAACAACTTTCGAAAGGATGAATGACATTAGTATGCTGGATCCTGGATGTATGTATATCATTTCCATGAGCCTTACATGAGCCCAAATGTAGTCTTCAATGGGTTAAGGAGGCTGGTTGCCATGGACACAGACGCACACACAGAGTTCATCTTTAGCTCAAAAAATTATATATCGCTGATCGCAAAGTAAAAACAAAAACAGAAGGCTACGAACCTTTATTGTCCAGCCGTTTCACAGTGAACCAGACCTTTGATACTCGTGGTGATTTATCAAAACTGACGTGAGACATTTTGATAATCCGAACAACAGCAGCACGAGACATGAGAAGAAGCCTTCCTACGACATCCGGTCAGGGACTTTCAAAATAAGACCCTGGCCGAAATAAATCCATCGATTCTGCACTGTTGCAATTTGTTTTTGTCAATTATTTAAGATACACGTAATGTGTTTGGTCTGTTTTAAGTGAACAAATTGAACAGGGGCTCTCGGGGATTTATCTTTTAAAAAATGGGCTATGATATTCGAAGATAGCAGCATGAATTGTATTTTTTGCACCATACCACACGTATTGAAGAAAACACTTTATTACACTTAACCAATTAATGATGTATTGTTTCAAAAACAGTATATCTCAATGCAAATGTACTTGTCAAATATAGTGGAGTAATATAACACTATTTACCTCTGAATTGTAGTGGGGTGGAAGTACAAAGTAGCAAACAATTTAAATACTCAAGTAGACTACTAGTATCTCACCAGTACGCATGTGGCAGCGCCATATAGATAGACCTCTCTATATGGCGCTGGCATGTGGCAAACGAGACAACACGCGCCCGCGCCCGCGGATGACGTCATCACGGCAAAACGTCTGTGAAAGCGTGCGCGCCGCCCCGAGAGGAAGAGCCACACGCGTGATGTGTGGGACATAATGGTGGATAGGTAAGGACGATACGAGTTGTTTATCAGCTGTTGCCATATTTTCCAGTTGTTGTCTTGGACCCATCGGCTCGAGAGCCGCCCGCTGCCACTTCCCGCTCGGACAGAACGACGCTCAGGACTGCATCAAAATGCCAAACATCAAAATATTTAGCGGTAGCTCACATCCGGACCTATCTCAGAAAATAGCAGACCGCCTGGGTCTGGAGCTGGGGAAGGTTGTTACGAAGAAATTTAGCAACCAAGAAACATGGTGAGTTGTTGTAGCTGTTAAAAACAAGCCTAGAACCAGAGGTATACCTGATACGCAAATGTCGTAGCCCAGCGACATTTAACGTTATTAAATAGAAACGTGGTGTCATGGTGAAATTGCCGCGCAGTGTTGTTAGGAACTTGTAGTCCACCACGCATGGCTAGGAACTCATGCTAACTCACAAGCTGTCTGGTGGTTCTTCTGGGCCACAAAGCCATCTTACTGGCCTCAAAACTGAAATAATAATGTCCTCTCACAATGATAATATTTGGCTCATATATGCAGCTCAACTCCACGAAGTTAACCTCTATTAAGAAAAAAAAGCCAGTGTTTACTGTGTCATGTATCTCCTGCTTGACATGGTGTGTTAACTCCTTCGCACTAACTGCCGTTTGTTTTGTCACCTCTCTCCTGGCAGTGTGGAAATAGGGGAGAGCGTCCGTGGGGAAGATGTATATATAGTGCAGAGTGGCTGTGGGGAGATCAATGACAATTTGATGGAGCTGCTGATCATGATCAACGCCTGCAAGATCGCCTCTGCCTCCAGGGTCACGGCTGTCATCCCCTGCTTTCCGTATGCCCGGCAAGACAAGAAGGACAAGGTGGGGGTGAGGGATATCTGTCTAATTACTTCAGTCATGCCATTTGCCATCCAGAATCATGACGAGAAGCCTGCAGCCCTGTCCATCAGTAACTGCTTGACAAGCCGTATTCCCTTTTTGTATTGGTTTGTTTTCCTTTTCTCGTTTTCCCTATGCTTTGCTGAAACAGCTCCATCGCTTTTTGTTGTTTTCCTGTATCTATCCTGCTCATTGTCTGTTATATTGCAACATTTGAATGATATTTGCATATATGGGATTGTTTTAACTATAACATCTAATCTGTTAAGCATTACTATGATGCAAGAAAAAAAATGATTTTGTCATATGTGTATTATATTGCAATCTAGGTTTTATTCCTTCTATTTTATAGGCAAAATTGCAGTTGGGCCAAACATTTATTTTGAATTTATGTTACTGATCCAAATGAAAGAGGAATGTCTGTTCAGCCATCCTATGTACATCCTAGTGATATTTGCATATTACCTATCAATGCTCAAACTATTTTTAAATTACAAATTTTAAGGTCTAGAGTCGGCTCTCATTGGAATTCTATTTTTAGAAGTGAGCCATGCTTGCCTGTTTGGTTATTTCATATGGCTGAGTAGATCTATTTGTGTTGCAGAGCCGTGCTCCTATCTCTGCCAAGTTGGTTGCCAACATGCTGTCGGTGTCAGGCGCTGACCATATCATCACTATGGACTTGCATGCCTCACAGATACAGGTGAGCAGCACAAAAGCAAGACCTAAACAGCAGTATCCTGCCATTAATCTGTCATATGGCTTCAAATGACCTACATTAGAAACGTGACTTTCACAGTCTTGACTTCACATAGATGTCAACAGAGGGAGATATGAGCCTTTTATCGGTCCTTCCAACACATGTTCAGCTCCTGTGAACCAAGCTCATGTACCTCTCTTGTCTTTTTACAGGGGTTCTTTGATATTCCTGTGGATAACTTGTATGCAGAGCCAGCCGTGCTGAAATGGATCAAGGAGAACATCCCTGAATGGAAAAACTGTACTATTGTGTCACCTGACGCCGGAGGAGCCAAGAGGTAGTTGTTGTACCCTTGAGCATCTCCTCTGAAATGTATTTTGGATTAAGCTTTTGTATGCTTTGCTTATCACTGACAAGGCTCTGAATTGACTGCGTTATACACTTTGGCACTTACACTTTGGACATTATACTTTCCTTCTGCAGGGTCACCTCAATAGCAGACAGACTGAATGTGGATTTTGCCCTTATTCACAAGGAGAGGAAAAAGGCAAATGAGGTGGACCGCATGGTTCTCGTTGGAGACGTGACAGATCGGGTCGCCATTCTAGTAGATGACATGGCCGACACGTGTGGCACCATCTGTCACGCTGCTGACAAGTAAGCCCCATACAAATAGTCTTGAAGACCGGCATTGGGATGCTGCGATTCTGTCCTGATGTCAAACTGACTTGGAAACAGATCATGACTGGATTCAATTCAGAGATCTCTATTCAGAATATATCCAAGTCATGTGGAGTTTTGTCATTCATTATGCTGTTTCTATCCCTTAGGCTGATTTCGGCTGGTGCCACCAAGGTGTATGCCATCCTAACCCATGGCATCTTCTCCGGCCCAGCTATCTCACGCATCAACAATGCATGCTTTGAAGCTGTGGTGGTCACCAATACAATCCCTCAGGAAGAGAAGATGAAGCATTGTCCCAAAATACAGGTCAGGGTACAGCATGTTCCAGGGTTTGAGTAAAGGTTGCATTTTTAATCTGAAAAAGAAGCAATATCCCGAGCCAAAAAGAATGTAACGAAAAATAATGATATCAAATGTAGCCGTATTTAAAGTAATATTATTCAGAGGTGCAACTCCTCTGTTTGAGCAATGATATTTTGAAATTGTAACTTTTTAGTTCATAAATTACTTTTTTGCCATTATACAAATCATCCAGTCTAGCTATATTCACAACCTCTTCTCCTCTCTCCCTCCAGGTTATTGACATCTCCATGATTCTCGCTGAGTCCATCCGTAGAACTCACAACGGCGAGTCTGTGTCGTACCTGTTCAGCCACGTCCCCTTGTAACAAATGATGGCTCCCATCTAACTGTGTGTTGTTCCACCAAATAAGAGAAGAGGGAATTCCCTAACCCAAACATAGCAACGTTTTCTGCTAACTTACCATGAAAGAAAACTGATATCATGTCTGTTACTAACGCTGACCCCGTCACCCCCTTGAGCTGTTTATCTTCATGTCTGGCACCAAATCAATCGCAAGCAGCTAGGCCAGAATATTTATTGTACTTGGATGATTAAGTGTTTATCCACTGTGAACTTTGTCCCCTCTTTCATACAACTGAGGAACAGAGTTTCTTCTGACCAATTCACTTCTCCAGAAGTCATTTCAATCTAGTCTAAAGAGCTTGTGGTTGTCAGGAGAAGCATCTGCTATATAAAACTGTTACAGTGCTTTCTGTTACAATGACTTGAGTGTAGTTTTTAATGTTGCTCCTGTGTCCTCTGCCGTTTGGACGATGATAATTCATGAAGTGAATGTGTAGTGAAGTAGTTAACAGTGAAGCTCCACTCAACCAAGAGTGCCTCAACAGTCTGAAATTGAATGCATTTTTCCTCCAGCCTTCTCCTTTCCCCACCCTTTTTTAGCTGTGCTTATTTTTCTCCCCCAACGACTCATTTTGACATCTCATCGGGCTGTAAAGATGTTCTGGGATGTTTTGTTTTTTACTCTTGAGGTGCACTCCATTGAGTGGGGTTTGTCCAGGGTTTACCCGTCGAGGTTCGGCGTTGAAGGTCTTTCTATAAAGAAGCTCTCTGGTTTTTAGTTTAGGGTCTCTGCAGGCTGGAGCTCAGAAATGTTTACCTGCTTTTATTTTTTTTATGTCTGGAGGAAGGATTTGTCGATGTGCATATTCAAAACCTTAGCGTTTACTTTTTCAATAAGGTGAATTCTTGGTTGGCATCTAAGGATGAGTTCTTAATAAAATGATTTGTAACCTTAAATGTGGCACTATTTCTGATAACAATATGTCATACATAAATGCATATTCCCTTGCATAATTGCTAATAAAACTTATATGCAACCAGTATCATACAGAGCAATAACTGTTTATTTAACAGACAATTCACAATACATTTTTGCAGGGGCTAAAAGCTAATATCAATATGTCTGTGAATCAAATCAATGACATTTATATTTGAATAACGGGTAACTTGGAGAAGGCTTCTAAACAGCATTCAGTTGATAGCAATAACATTTAAAATGGAAAAGTATGTATAAAATAAGTAGGATAGGATTTTTCCTTGGGAACACGCCCTAGTACGGTAGAAGACAACAAGTTGATCGACAGACGAAACAACCAATCGCCCGCCGCGCAACGTATAGCATATTGGCCAATGGTATTAAGAGGCGGGCCCTCACGTACACCGGCAGATGCTCAGTGCGCCCGTTTACGACCGTCATACATGGACCTGATTGAGGGATGCTTCACAGTTTTCTCTGTATTAAGGTCAACACATGTAGAAAATGTGTTGCCATCGTAACTTCATTAATAACGAGAGATAAGCTCCATCCAAGTGCAGTCCAAGGAAACAAAGACGCCTTTGCTTCTCCATCACTGAACAGAGGGAAATGTAAAGGAACTACGTTATATAATCTTTATCGTTTTGCTTTTTCGCTGTTTACTAACGGCTTGCTGGGTAAGTACATTTCATCTCTGATATAATTTCTTTATATTTGATTTATTATGTAGGTGTATTTTATTCTGCAGTGGAGTTCCAACTTATGGTAACCTATGTTTTCTGTTTCAGTTTTGGTTTCAGTCTACATATTTCCTGTGTTTTTTCATTTTTATATATTATTTATATAAACATGTTAATATGTGCTGATTACTGACAGTTTACTGCGTGTAACTTATTTCTCTGTGGTTTCCTGCTCTAGTTCCTGTTTCATCCTCGGTTGTCAGCATCAGTCCAGCTATCCTGCATTGAGGCGACACTGAAGTGTTTGTGGTCAATTTGTACTCAGCTCAGGAATGGCAGGAAGCCTTAAACCTAAACAAGATGAAGAGGGCTGCCGGGATCAGATGGTGCGTTCCAACACCTTCTTTCACGGGGGGACCTCAAGTTTACTCTCCACCCTCATCACTTTTCCTGTCTACAAAACGGTTTTCCGTCAACAAATCCACAACGCTGGTGTTTCTGAGGTAGTGAGGCAGCTTTACAGTGAGGGACATGTAAAGCTCTACAGGGGCGTGGTCTCACCACTTCTGATGAAGACCCTGGGTAATACTCTGCTCTTTGGCCTCCAGGACACCATCCTCCATCAGTTCACCCCATCATCCCAGAATCTCATCTCCCACTCAGCCTTGCCTGCTCTGGCTGGGTTTGGTGCAGGCATGGTAGAAGCTGTTGTTTGTACCCCCCTTGAGCGTGTCCAGAGTGTGTTGCAAAATGGCAAAAACTACCGCAATTTACCCACCCACAAAAGTATCCTTGTCAGGCTGAATGCACAGAAGTGGTCCTCAGGGTACTACAGAGGCCTTCTGCCCATCACAGCCCGCAATGCTCTTGGCAGCTTTATCTACTTTGGCCTGAAGGAACCGTTAAATGCTGCTGTGGAGGGACAGGGGCTGTCTCCAGTGGTTTCCTCCTTCGTCTCAGGGGTGCTGAGCTCCATGGTTATCAGCTTGCCTCTCTATCCACTGACTGTGCTGGCTGCAAACATGCAGAAACAGGTGGGAGGGGAGAATAAAGGGGTCATGGCTTCGTGGAAGACGCTGTGGGAATCTCGGCAGCGGAGTGTGGCTCTGCTGTACAGAGGAGGTTCTCTGGTTGTTTTGAGATCAGGCATTTCATGGGGAATCACCACTGCTATCTATGACATGCAGCAGAAATATTCAGGCTGAAGGGCAGTTCAAACCCTACTTTCATGAGGTGCTGTAATCATTGTCTTTTCACTGTAGACATTTTGGCCTGTCATAGTAGAAAAAGCATATTGATTTTAACATGATTGGTTGTGATCAATTCATGTGTCACCCTAAACTGTGCCATGTATCTCACATGAAAAGATCCTGAAGCTGAACCATCTAAAAGGAATTCATTTTTATTATTTACACCTCTGCTTTTCCTTCTGCGACATGTCAACAAGGTTTTGGTGGAAAAGTTCAATGGAAATTGCAAGTTTAGCCATGATGCATTAACTAGTTCAAATCAACACAGCATACTGCCAATCTTTGTCAGAATGCCAAAGCCAGGGGAAATCACCACTGCCAGGACTTGAACCAAGGTCTCTATAGTGGTTGCTGAATATTAATCATCAACCAATTTGAATACAGTAATAATAGACTTCTATATTGTGGGCATGGAGAGGGTTGCAACAGTTTGAAAGATTTTCACATTTTGATAACCATCTCAGAAAATATCCCAATTTTACAGTATAGAATTATAATAATAAACTTGAAAACAAAATAAAAAGAATAATAAATTGCATTTAACTTTAACATGTCATGTAACTAAAGTGTGTTAAATGACAATGTAGCAACATTATATTATCTCCGTCTTTTTTCATCAATACTGTAGAACAGCAAATGATATGTCAACCGTCATTCAGGTAAACCTTGAACAGGTACGCTCCAATCTTACTCGTGAATCCCAGGTGCCTTGTATTTTTTATGTCTTGTAGAGACATTTCATCAACTAACCTCCTCAAAGTTAGTTTACTCATCAGGGGGAGTACAGCTCAGGCGAAAAAGTGTTTTTATTTTCCTCTAGGCCTCTTGAGGAACTATTATTTTTACCTAATGGTAGCTTGTAGATACAGTAGCAGTAACCCACATTATGAATTTGGGTGTGGATTTTGTAAAATATGGATTCCAGCAAGGCAGGATCTAAAGAAAATTGGCTTCAGTATGAAAAAGTAGCATTCCTAACTTTAGGGCTGGACCCAAAAGGAAGTGAAGGTCAGAATATTGACCCCTGTTGCCTTGAACTCGTCTTTTAAAGTGCTTAATCATTTGACCATTAACTGCATAAAGGGAGATCAAAACATTTGTATTGTGTAATGTCAAAAGATTTGTGAATGTTATGTATGATAAAGATGATACATGTGAGTTGAAGCACAGGAACAAATAAGACAAAGTTGTACAACCCTGTTGCCTCTCAGCAAGAAGATACTGAGCTATAATGCCGTTGGTGCTGTCCTGTGTGAGTATGCATGTTCTCCCCTTGTCTGCATAAAGGATACATAGACATGCAGGTTACATTAGTCAGAAACTAAATGTAAATATGTTATCATGTGTTGTCTTTGCTTAAAATAATCTTTGATTTATCAAATCTAGCAGATTAAATAGCAGCAACATTAAAGTGAAGAACTCTCAGAATTATAATCCATTATACAATATACATTAAGAAATGGGTCATACTGCTCATACTTTTAACGGAGTACATTTTGAATGCAGGACTTTTGCTTGTAAAACGTTTATACTTTGTGGTATTACTATTCTTTGAGTATACCTGAGTACCGTGTGTACCCCTCTGAACCTTTACTTTCTTCTAATTTACCAGAACAACCTCATATTATATTTTTTCAGAATACAAACTGTTTCATCAAAGTGCATTAAAAAAATCAATCTTATTGGCCAAATAGTTTTGTGTTTTTGTGATGTAGCCTACATCTTACTATTGTCCTATTGAAAATTACTTTTGTCAAACCATGTTATGCCTCAACCAGTCCAGTAGATGGTATGTGTGTGTTAAAAATGAAAAAGCATCCAGATCCATGACAATGGGAGCCCAGTGTTCGTGCATTTTTCCACCCAGGTACGGGGCGGAGGAACAAATGATTGAACAGATAACAGCATTCCTCGGCAAGAACAGGCAGCTGTGCCCAGGCAGCAGCCTGTCATATTTCAGGGAAGTCAAGTAGCAAGCGTGTCCAATCAAATGTATTCCTGGTTTGGGAGCCAATCAGAGCCAGCATATCGGTGTCCATGTTGGCGTACAGAAGGGTGTGTTGACTCTACTTAAACCGTTGTCTTTTCCCAAATTACGCAGAAGCATTTTACCCGTAAAGAATCTACGCACATCTGCACCAGGTAAAGTTTTTCGGAATGTTCTCTGTTTTTCAGCTCGACCACTAAAAAAAGATACCTAACTATTGTTATGCGAAGATCATTTTTTACAAGGAAATGCGTTTTAGGCTTCAAAGGCGTGTTGGAGTTTTTCTCCTGCGCCACAGATTTTTCATACAGTTAGTTTCCTGTTTTATTTCCTCTGTTAACTGTGCTGTGTGTAGTTCACCTGGAAGCGCTGAATTCCTCAGCAGGCAGGCTGTTTTACTGCATGAGTTTGTTTGTTCTGCAGGTTATAAAGTTTGTTTCTTGCGACTGGCTCGCATTACTCCAGAGTTAAGCCAAGTTCTGTTTTTTTCTTAACTGAGGTGGGGCTTTCTTTGTAAACCCGCATGGGAATGCCCTGCAGACAAAATACATTTTGTGTGATTAAATGTCAAAGGGCTCATGTTTTGATGCTTTCTTCTGCGTTATTTTAACAGTTTTTAATGCCCTTTTTATTTTTTTTAGCATGTTTTGCTTTTGATCCTCATGTTAGCTCTCTTTCTCTCCCACTTCCTCCCATTAGACATCTTCCAAAATGAGCGCCAAATGTCCAATCAAGCAGGAAGTGGTGGATTTTAATAAGGGAAAACTGAAGAGGACTGAAACTGCCGAAAAATGCTGTCTTCCAACGTTGGAGGGTAGGTGTTCAAAACAAGTCTGCTCCCATTTAAAAAAATAAAACTATCATCCGCCCTTCACCAAGGTTTTCGACTTCCTATGGTCTGTGTTAGTCATACATAAACTCCTCCCTGCTTATCTTTATCAAGGCAACGGCAAACATTGCATTACTGATAAATTGCATGTACACACCCAACCACCTGAGAGCTCTCCTTGTTCTGTTTAAGGCCAACCTGTTCAGTGGAAAAACATAACCCCACCCTCATCTGTGTATTATATTACTTCTGTCTCTTTTGAAATGTTTATTATATGAAGCTTCATGCCAATGGCACTGGGGTTTGAAAAAGAAAATTGCAGCCACTTCGTGCAAATAGTCCAAAAGAGGCACAGATGTACTGTGCAGTAGAAAAGCCTGATTTTTAGATCTGGTGTGACCTGACTCGGCAGGAAGAGGGGAGTTTAAGTTAAAGCGTGGCAAAATGCTCATGTCGGCTTTACCCTGAGTCGTTAATGACAATTTTACCTGTAGAGCTATTCTATGTTGCTCTGAAATTATTGTGCCGGTGTTTAATATTGCTTTAGCACAATGTGGACCTTTTACTTTCCAGTATTACCTTAGTTTCAAGCATTACATTGAGAATATGTTGCTTAAAATAGATATTGTAGACTTTTCCATGTAAATAGACTGACTTTTCTAAGTTACAATTAAACTATGCTTGAGCCATAACATTTGACCATAACTATTTAACGAAAAAAAGTTGCATTCTTCACAGTTTTGAGTGAATCATATTATATAACTGTAATCATATATTTGTTTATTTCCCTGAGTCTTCAGACTTCTAAGTTCATAGCTTCATGTTGCTGATGAGATCATAGGCATAAAATACATTAAAAGGGGCCACTCCATACTTAGTTAAATTGTCTTTAGGATAACTGTACAGTATACGAAAAGTCTTCTGTGTGACTTTATGGAGCTGTGTAAAACTGGTTGAGGTGTGGGGGCTGAAAAGGCACTGACATTGTGCATGCATTCACCTCATAAAGAGGCTTATAATTTGCATTATGGGAAATGTAAAGATATCTCTGCAGATTTTTTTAAATAATTTGTTTGTCTATTGCAAAAGAGTCCCCCTTCAAATTCCCTAACATATATATATATATATATATATATATACAATTCAGAAAGAAACCAAGGGGGACTGACCCTGTCACTGGTCACTGACCAGTGACAGGCAGTTATGTATTCTTAATCGTAACAGAGCCAAACTCATGACTGGATCCATGTGTCGCCCCAGCTGCTTCACTGTCAAATCTCACCCACCATGCAGAGTCTTTGACACTGCTGCTTTAGATTACTATTCTGTGGTGGTACATAGACTTTTTTTTAATTTTTTATTAAATGAATGCTTCAGGAGGATGTTTAAACAGTGCTACATCAGTTCTCTCTTTTGATCACACAGCAATTCGTGATGAGAAGTTAGCCATTGAAGAGGTAAGTTCCAGAAACGTACCTGCCGCAGTCTTTCTCTTTCAGTCCTGCTCTTCTTCCATTTAGGAATCTTATCCTTCACCTCGATCTCTGCTTGTACATTTCTCTGACACTCTAGTGCTTAAAGTAGATCCTGCGCAGAATACATGGTCTTCTTGCTTTGGTCTTTTATCTTCTGGAAAAAACCGTATGTCCTCAAACTTTTTTCCCCACTCGGCCACACCTTTCCTTCACTTTCATATCTTCTCTGAGGTTTATTGGGGTATGGGATTGTAGTGCAGACTACATCTTGAATGATGAAATGCACATGGGATCATGTCTTAATTCTTTCATCTGCATTCTCTTATCATTTGTACAGGCTGTCCAGATTAAGATCTGTGTTTTGATTTTTGCTCTCCCACTTTTTTCCATTAGAAATGTGCCAAAGAGCCACTCAATAAAGAGTTGGAAGGGTTTCAAAAAGACATCCTCAAGAAGGCGGAAACGAAAGAAAAAAACCCTCTTCCAACAACTGAGGGTAGGTTTTAAGCAATTTGAACCCAAACCACAATGTTTTCCTTAATGTGAACAAGTAGTTCTGTTGCCTAGACTTTGTGTGGTTTGGTTTGTGTTCAAAAGATTACATCCCTGTTACATTGATCATCTTGTATATGTCTCTGTCTCTCTTGTGATCACACAGTAATTGATGCAGAGAAGGTAGCCATCGAAGAGGTAAGTTCCAGAACGTACCTGCTGTGACTCCTCTCTTTCAGTCCTGCTCTTTCTCTAATGACAAATCAAGTCAATCATCCCCGCCGCTATTTTTCTGTGATCTAACACTGTATTACTACAAGCTGACAATGTTTAGCTGCAGTTTGGTTATTGGCCATTTTTCCTAATCTCTTTCTTAACCACAACACAAAAACGTAGCTTTCTGTTCAAGTAGGGCGTTCGAATCCCCATACACACTCTTGTGGAACTGAACACCTGTAAATAACAGAGTGTAACATGACGCAGCAATAGAGCTGTTTGTTCATTGTGAGGGGGCTGCTACGTGTTGTGACCGGTTACATAACTCCAGAGTTCAGCCCAGTACTGTCTTTCTAAATGGAGCTGGGGCAGGATTTGTGTACCTGTGTTGGACTGGAAAATCCTTTTGATGAAATGATAATGGGATTATGTGTTTATTCTTTGTTTGTTTAATGTTTTCTCTCTTTATCACACACTTTTCTCCATTAGCAATTGGTCAAAGAGCCACTCAATGAGGAGGTTGGGTCATTTAACAAGCAACAGCTCAAGAAGACAACCACAAAAGAAAAAAACAGACGTCCAACTGCCGCGGGTAGGTGTTTAAAAAGTGTCTCTCGGCACTGCCCAGTATTCTGGTTTCTTTAGCTCCTCCCAGCAAACAATTTTGAAAGGCAACAGCAGACATTCCTGCACTGATTAACTGCAGATACACACCAAACAAGCTCTTTCTCAATCGGACGCCAGGCTGCTTCCGTATTGAAGAAGGTGACCCTGCTGGTGCATGTCGGCTTACTCTAAATCTTTAACTTCAATCCTTCTCAGGAGAGCTTTGCTCTTTGGCAGTGAAAGGAAGAACCTGTGCTCTTTATAAATGAGAAGTTCATTCGATTAGCAATGACTCATACCTTTGATCAATACAAGTGGTGGTTTAAATATAGATATTGCTGTGTAACGGATATTTCTGAGAGTTTACTGACTTAATGGCTCTGTTTTTCTTGAGCTACTGTTGAACTACATTTTGGCATTTTCCCTAATCCTGCAAATCCTTTATATTTTACACATGAAGTCATGAGGAGTATTATACAGACTATGAAACTGTTGTATAATGTATTTTGTGGCTCTGAAGGAGCTGTGTACACTTGAAGAATACCGATTTATCATGGATGGCCTATCGCTAACTGGGAGACTGGAGTTGAATAGACATGGCTTATTACCTAATAGAATCTGCCACTCGGTTGCATTGTGGGAAATGTGGGATCCTTTCTTTTTTTTATGCGGGCCCCATACTAAACTGTAAAATACTTTTTAAAAAGGGCCGTGGTAATTGCTCAAACTTTGATTTTGACTTCCGTCACTTCTTCAGGCCGCACACCTATACAGTAGATTTGGCTAAATAAATCAGTGGTTTTTTTTTTACATTTTATTTTTAATACAGGATGATATTGTTTAAACGGCATATTATATCAGTCGAATCACCATGTTTGTCTTTCTTGTGATCACACAGAAGTTGAAGCGGAGAAGAAAGCCCTGAAAGAGGGGAAGTAACTGAACCGTGCCTGTCATGATTCCTCTTTCAGTCCTGCTCTGTTACCGACTCTTCTTCTGATAAAGAATACTGTCCAGTATCACGCCGCCTGCCTGTTTGAAGAAGTGTTTGGGCTGATGCATTGGAAAGGATGTTCTGTACTCCTTGTAAATGAATGCAAGAGATGTATTTTTTTGTTTTTTGTCTGTGCTGATTATATGGGGCATGGAAAAAGATAACAATTAAAAGGATTTTTTTTTTTTCAAAAACATGAATTGCTGTATTAATGGAAATCCACCAAAAATATATTGCACCATAAGTATGACTGTAAATGTTGTCCTTCAGAAATATTCTAAGAAATGACACTCAAACATAACACTTTTTTTTTTTTTTATTAAATAAAAATGGATATGTTAAACATTTGATTTGTAATTATTTTTGTCAAACAGTCTTTCCAAGCCATCTTGCATTCAAAGCTCAGTTATCACAACAACTTTCCAATTTGTTATCTATAGACCTCGGGCATTGCCGCTTTAGAAAGTAATCTGGATGGTTTATGTATTTTCAGTCTAGGCTAGGCTAGAAATGAGTAAATGCACCCCAAAATATATCTGAAAAGATAGATTTAATGTATTTAACTAAACACATGTGTAGTGTTTTGAGTCATAAGATCTACCTAAAACACCCGTGTCCATTATTGTTATTGCACAATAAGTAACCAACAAGTAGGAAAATGGTTCATCAGTTTTGTGGGTTTATCAATCCTACGCGAAAGCTACCATGTTGATAATGGTAACAATAAATGATACTGCTGGACACACTTTAGGGGCTTAAATCCAAGCCTGTTGTTGAAATGTCCAAGATTTTTGAATAATAAAACTAATCCATGCTTGTGATCATTCAAATTATATTTGACTTGGCTGTACATGAGATACATTTAGTTAATTTGAATTCATTTGTGAATGGTTGAGTGAATACATCTAATCCAGTTAAATGCTCTTTATGAATTACAACAGGTCCAATCCTGCCAAAGAAAAAAGGTGGATCTGCTTCCGGTGTTACACATTCCACACTGCCTTCATGGCTTGCCTTGGAAATGTCAGTTTGAATTTAGTTGCCACATGCAATAATGTCACATTTACCTCAAATGCATATAAAATACAGCCAAATATTCAAGTTAATATTGTATCTTTGCAGTATAAAAATGCTTTGGGAAGCTCAAGGATCAGTGGCTGAATAGTTTTTTTTCTCGAACTATGTATGGGGATTGCTTAAGATAATACAAGCTGTGTTTTTCCACAACAGGCCTGTTCGAACATGCTGACACTATAGCATGCTGGCACTTGATGCAAAGACATAGCGTGTAATTATCTTACATTGGAGTTAAGGCACCAAAATTACAGCTTGTGCACATGTTCCTTCTGTTGTAAGGAAGCCTGTCAAAGTTCATAACAAAATAATACTTCCCATGGGAATGATAGTTTTTATGAAATTGGAAAGTAATGGAATGCATGTTGTTTTCGTTTCTGGATATCTTTGTGGCTCAGACGAGTCTGTGGACCATGACACAAACTAAACAAGGCAGCACAAGAAGAGAAAGACCAAGTAAGGACACAACTCTGATAAGAGGATGACACAGACTTAAGATCTGATGTAATGTATTTTTTAATCATTCTAAAGCCATAAAGTAAAAATATGTTTTTCTTGTATGTGAGTGCTGTAGCATTTCATTGTCATGACGAAACTGCTTATTAACAGATCCACCTGATTGTTTTTACTGCCTGTTGTGTTCAATCCATTTATAATCCCTGCGTCAACTTTATGACAAGTGCACACGATCTCTCAGTGAACCAGTTGTACAGGTACTTTAGAGCGGCATCACTTCCTTTGGTTCCCATTAACCCACACAATTAGACAGGAACAAACTACCAGACATTGTCTACCTAATGTAGAGCAAAAAGAAAAAAAATGAAGACTATGTCATTAAACTACCCCTGCAAAACAACCAATATATCAACTACCGTGTGCTTAACAGTTTTCATGTATGCATTCATAACACCATTTATTTGTTTATTTTCTTTAACAGTTTCACTGGCCTGCATTTCTGTATGCACAAATAAAGAAGTCCCACATTTTTAAGTAAACTTTTTTTGTGGGATTCCTGCACCACAAAGTATATTGTCCTGCAGTGAACTTCTAGAGTGATCATCGTCCTCCTATAGCTGATAGACATTTGAATATAAACGTGCAAAAACTCTAGTAAGAGTTGCCCGTTGTGAGATACATGCTGTACAGTCATTTGAGTGCAGTAACATGTCAATAGTAGAACCTCCAAGCATGGGAACAAATCAATTACACTGTCATACGTCATAGAAGCAGGTCAAATGTTAATAAGGTGTCTTTTAATTCAGAGATTTGTAGCACTTTTATGTAAACAGCGACACCCAATGGCCTCAATATAGATGACGCAAAGATATTATCGCAGTACCAAATCTCTCCAATAGGATGCGCCAAATGACAGAGACAGCCCAGAGGGGGAGGGCCGAGGCTGCTGCAGGTCTGTTCACTAAAGTCCATCAACAAGCTAGTTAGCAGAGAGCGATACCATATCCGTGAGGCTCAAGCAGAAAGAAAACATGGACTAGCCTAACTAAGAGATATATTCCGGTGTCTTGACAGTCACTCTCTAACGTCGGTGGAGGATCAATCCAGGTGTGTGTAAATCTCTTCTTCATTCATGCGGTCGTTGCTGCAGCGGAGAGTCTGAGCTGCGAGTGGCGGGCAAGCTCAATCATCAGCTCCGCAGGGACAACTGGGACAACACGGCTCACTCACCGGTACGGTTGTTTTCCTGTTAGCACGCTAGCTCAGCTAACATTACCTATAAACATGAACGACTAGATATAGTACAATGTACCTGCTGGAGATTCACTGCTTATTCTTCTTATGTTCTAGTCTAGTGGCTAGCTTGTTGCAAAGGTTATTGGAGTTGCATAGTTAGCCACGTAACGAGAAAAAAGTGGTCGGCGTCATGTAAATACTGGTGATTATTAGCTGAAATTAGCTAACGTTAACGTTAGAAGTGGCGCATTGATACCAAAGCTACTTCATTGTATCCCAGACCAAAAGCTTTCCATGTGAATGTGTGAGCTAGAGAATATATTTGTACTGCTTTCTTTAATTTACTGGACCATGTGCTGAGTTGTTGTTGTTTTGTTGGGAAGATGGTGCCCATTCAATAATGGTGTAGGCAGAAACATGTAGTACTATCAAGCTTGGGCTAATATTTTATACAGCCTATGATGTCGCCCTGTCGTTTATTGTCCTCGTGCAACATGTAATGTTACTCTTCCTCCCCAATAGAGCAGGAGCATGGTGGTCCCGGACAGTGCCAGCGTGCTCCTCCAGGCCGACAATGGCAGTCCCACTGGCCTCATGGAGAGCTCCAAGACCGGGTGCGAGGAGGAAGAAGAGGGGGATCAGGACCTGCCAGGGGAGGAGCTGGAGGAGGTCCGAAAGCTTCAGGAGCTTGTTCGCAGGTTGGAGGTCCAGAACGAGACCCTGCGCAACAGAGGGAGCAAATCTCTCAGCCACACAGCCTCTGTCAATATCAACGAGAGGCTGAATTGTGAAGAAGTGAACAACTCCCACCTCAGATTGGAGCACTGTGGTGAGTTGGGCAGCTCAGACTTTGAGCTGTCTCCACCTCAGGACAGCAGCAGTGGTGAAGACATGTCCCCTCTGCCCATGGCCAACAGGCTGGAGGAAGACGATGAACAGGGTCCACCGGGGGGATTTCTCACCTTGACCTGCAGCAACGGAGCGGGACAGTGCCAGACGCCAGAGAGCCCCTCTCAGGAAAGCTATGACTCAGAGACAATTGCAGAGAACGACTCCGGGGTGGACCAAACTGCACTGGATGAAGTGGATGTCCTAGATTTGGAGGATGAGTGTGCGGAAGAAGACAACGAGGATAGTTGGTAGGTTTTAATATCCACACTTTGTCTTGATAATGCTTTGATAACCTTCTTTTAGCCCTCTTCTTTGGGTTATCCAATATATATTTCTGTCAATACTAACATCTGAACATTTGCACATATGAGATAGATATCAAGTAAAATACATCATCATATGGGACAGTAAATATGAGTTACCCTCAATGGAATTTAATTTCTTGCAACCCAGGCAAGAGCACATTTAAAGTTGCGTGTAACATTCGGCTGTGTATAAGTAGAGAGGAGCCCCTTTAGCCATATGACTCACTGTTCTTTTTCATTTTAACCTCTAACTTAAAAGTGTGTTTCTCCCCCACAGGAAGTGACTATGCACTGTTCTGCACAAGTTATTTGGATTCAAAATTAGACTACGTTTCTGACAAGACAGAAATTGCATTTTTTCCTCTCATTTACAGGATCAATAATTATTTTCCTTTGCTTAACTGTGACCACTAGCTCAGAATATTTACTGTGATTAGGAGGTCATGAGGAAGTGTTATGGTTGGAGAACAGAGAGTAAGAGGGACACGGAAATAAGGAGGAGGCGGTAAAAAAACAAGTGTGAATATAGTCAAAATACAGAGGTGAGAGACAGTCTATTGTTTCGTTAACTTGACTCTGAGCTCCCTGACTGACCAAGGTGAACAACAGATGTAACCTATCTACAACCTGTTTGACAGGTTATAATGGAAAACACATATTTTTTTAAATACCAAGCGTGAATGAAAACAATGCGGTCACAATAAGTGCTCTCTTAAGCTTTTTCAAGAAAATAAGTTATTTGAAAATTGTAATAATAATAGTTATCATTGTTGATAGATCTACATTCACTAAGCCGTGTAACACAATGCACTAAAGATCAACTAAGCCATATCTGCATTCGTTAATTCCGAAATATGGGACAGGTTGACCCTTATAAAAACCCAGTTTGTTTTTTTCAATAAGAGGACCTTTGCTCATTACCTCCAGTTTAAATGGCAGACTATAATCACCTGATTACCTAATTACCATTCTAATTACACAATAGGACCAGTAATATAAGGTTAATATCTAATCCATGTGTATTTCATGCCAGAGTTCAGTCTAGACATATCGTTAAATGCTGTGCACATTGCCTTAAACAGCTACCATATTGTGTTCCTGATGGTCACTCTAGCAGCTTAACAGCCTGACCATTCGCAGCTTATTTTCAGTTTCACATAATTAGCCATACCATATGTGCTTTGGGAGGTTATCATAGCCAAAACGTCCAGTAATCCCAACGCCGACATAATCTCCTCTGCTCTGAGCTGGATGCAGCCGCATGGCTAAACTGCTTTGGGTGGGATTGCGCAGCATGTGATCCGAGGGCCCCCTGTGGGACCAGAACGCAGCACGGAGATACGCCCCCGAGCTGACGGCCGCTGCAGGGCCTCTTGATGTGCG